AATCAGGAAAACATTGGAAAACATCTTGTGTGTCTTACCATTCACCGACTTTAAAGGACCTTAGTGCTCAACTGCAAACAACATTTCTTATCTTTTTTTAACAGATAAACATCCTCGAACAAGTATTTAGCCAATATCACTACATCGCATCCTCACATAGAAAACTGCTGGCCCAAAAGATTGGAATAAGCGAGGCTCAAGTCCGGGTCTGGTTTCAGAATCGACGCATAAAATGGCGAAAAGAAGGGAAAGAATTTATCGTGAAAAGTGAAAATAAATAATCTAACTCATAATTCTGAAACGTTGATGGAAGTTTCGACGTCCTCTAATTAAAATCTACTTTTTTCGCGACTGCAAATTTGTATACGTCAACCTCGGCCTCCGCGCGTGCAAATTGTAGCGTACAGTCTAAAAATACACTGCGCGTCTCAATTATAATTAATTAATATACATATAAATAAATCTTTTGATTCTTATCTTGTTTTTTTTTAAATATTTGGCAAAACTTCTGCTGCACACTGCTTCTAATGCATAATTATTAATTAAAAAACATGGAATGATTATGTGTTTTGAGATTGTATCCTGTATTTCATTTCTGGATCGACCTCCTTTGTTCTCTCTTCCTTCCCTTGATGCACCGCGAGATCAATAAGACAAGAGAAGCGACTGGGTACGAGTCTGTACTGATGATGCTACCTCTCCACTCCCTGGGCCTGCAATCAGATTTCCCTATAAAAGAAAGAAATTAATATAATTCTATTATTAGATAACCGAGGTCACCGATCATAACTTATGCAGAAACTCAGGCTTTTTAAGGAGGTTACTTAGTAACAATTTGTGCTCTCTGCTGGAATGAAAGATCTGTTTTAAGCCAAATTTTATTTTGAGTTCGCTTAAACTCTGGATATTTTAGCACTAATAGACTTTATTTGAACAAGTGATGGCTGAATTTCTATATACGGTGTCTGAATGAAATGATACGCGAATAAATTGTGCTGCAACTTTTAGCTCAGGATACCACAAACCACCTCTCCTACTGTTCTTTATATTTTCGTTACCTTGACCTATACATTGGCATTCTATTGTAATTTCTTTATGTAAGACTGGAGTAAAAAAAATCAAATTTCATTGAATTGAAAATATGTCATGAACTTCTCCCAGTATAAAACTTTCAGAAACTGGAAACAATTCTCAACAACGAATCGTTATATTTTTGTATTATTAACGACATTCAGAGGCTTTGGTACAAAAATACACAAAATAAAATATTTACGGGACAGTAAAAATTAATCATATGAAGCAAAGGAATCCGGTTCTTAATAAAATAACTTGGCATATACTGAGTCAGCGTCGGCGGATTAAAGTCTATAGTCTAAAGAATATATAAATTTAATGAATAGTACTACAAATATTTTTATATACTCAACGAATATTATAATATTTGACATATTGCCTGCTAGTGGAGGTCTGCCGCTGGCAATATGAATAAAAGTAAAATAAAGACGTAATCTAATTATGCTAATGTATGCATACTATATTCTTTGACTAAAACATAAAAATATATTTTCTCTTTTATTAAATTTATTTATGTATAAATGCTACATTTAATCTTTTCAAACACATATGTGATACTCCAAAAGAAAGTTACTTCAAAAGACTTCTTATTCTAATTTATTTCATTACCAACGAGTTACTTCGAGTCGCACTGTAATTACACTAATTTATGCACGCCATATTTGGCATGTTTGAGTTAATTATGTAAATATCATCATGTCATGAGACTTCAAAACATAACACACGAGGCCTCGGATGGCAGCCATATTTAAGATTTTCAGTCAACAAAAATTGTTTTTATTTCGTTTGATTTTGACGCTCTTGCTCCTAAAAACCTCCAGATGTGAGCATCAACTCATAGGTTTAAGCCCTGGGGACTCCACGAGTAAAATAGTGGACGGGCACTTGGTGATAATCGCTAGGAAAACCACCCTTGTGAAACTGTTCGGGTTCAACTTGGGGCCTGAAACTCGGATTTCGTTTACTTCAGTTGCCCCTAGAGTTAATCAGGATTGCGACGATGTTCGAGAAACAGTTGCCTTTCAAGTGGAGCCCACCGAGCTAAAGAAACACGCTGCAAATGTGAAGTTGAAGTTAAAAACAATCGAGGGAGGAAGATTTTACTATCCATGTCTACGCAATGGTACACAAGGTAGATGGGTCTTCCAAGGCAATCAAAGTAACGTTAAAATCTCCACTATAGAAGAACCTTCGGATCCGCTTCCCTTATGGGTCAAACTACTTTTCATAATGGTGTTGATATCCCTCTCTGGGCTTTTTTCGGGGCTAAACCTTGGATTAATGGCATTAGATCCCACTGAGTTGAAGATAGTCACAAACTGTGGTACGAGAAGCGAACAGAAGTATGCTCGGAAGATTGAGCCAATCAGGATGCGTGGTAATTATTTACTCTGCACCTTGCTACTTGGAAATGTTCTGGTTAACACTTCATTCACTATCCTCCTTGATGGGATCATTGGCAATGGAATAATAGCTGTTGTAGGGTCGACCATTGGAATCGTGGTTTTTGGAGAAATTCTTCCTCAAAGCGTTTGTTCCAGACACGGTCTTGCTGTAGGGGCGAAGACCTTATGGATCACAAAATTCTTTATGGTTTTAACGTTTCCTTTGTCGTATCCCATCAGTAGGATATTAGATTGTGCTCTTGGGAAAGAATTGGGTACGATATATAATAAGAAACAGCTGATAGAAATGCTGAAAGTTACTGAAGAATTGAATGATTTGCAGGATAACGAGATGAATATCATTACTGGGGCTTTGAACTATGGAAATAAAACAGTTGAAGAAATCATGACAAAACTTGAAGATTCTTACTTGATATCACTTGATGCAGTGCTTGATTTTAAAACTATGGCTTCCATAATGAAGTCAGGGCACAGCCGCATCCCTGTCTATGAGGATGAACGCTACAACATAGTAGGGGTATTATTTGTCAAAGATTTAGCATTTGTCGATCCAGATGACTGCACTCCCTTAAAGACTGTAATTAAGTTTTACAATCATTCTGTTCAACGTGTTTTCTTTGACACACACCTCGATAAGCTACTTGAACAGTTTAAGAGAGAGCACTCCCATTTAGCTATTGTGGAGCGGGTTAATGACACAGGAGAAGGCGATCCCTTTTATGAAGCTATCGGAATTATCACTCTAGAAGATATTCTGGAAGAAATTATCCAGTCTGAAATTGTTGACGAGACAGATGTGTATCGTAAGTACCTGCAATATGCCATTGTTTTATTTTTGCTGGCCCAGATATGATTATTATATAATATAACACAGAGTTGATTAATACTTAATGAATCTTTATATTGGCATGGCTATGTAATTCAAAATTAATTGAGGGTGCCTTATTTTCAAAACAACAGTGCATATTTGATATTGTGACATCAAATTATGTAGCTATGCCAGAAAATTCTTTTCTGCCATCACTCTTCTTTTTCTTTTCTCTTTCTGTCTTGGAAGTGCCTCTTTGGCTCCATAAGACAATTCTCTTGCTCATCAGCTACATCTTTCAAGAAGTACATATGTTTTTGCACTAATCAGTGGTACATATGGAAGGTTGTATTGATTGAAGCCCCTAAAAGGCGAGTACAAACCCCCAAATTGGAAGCTAGAAGTTGATTTTTTGGTTTACCAAACTACAGTCCCTAATTTTTTGGTTCAGTTTGTCAGTTTGAACCCACCTAGTGAATATCCTGGATTAGCCCCCACTAATGTATAGTCAGTTAATTTTTTTCACTCAAAAAAAAATTAACGCATGAATAAATATTTTTATAGTGGATAACAAGTCTGGGAAGATTGTTCCTGGTAAAAAGACAGACTTTGAATACTTTACTGAGTCCCAAGAGAAAAGGCCTAAAATCTCTCCACATCTGGCTTTGGCTGTGTACCAGTATCTCTCGACTGGTAAGTGAGTGCTTGTAGACTGCTGTCAATCAAATTGTTAAGTATGTAAAGATACATGGGAACTGTGGGAAGGGTACTTGGCAGTCATCAAAATGATTACTAAAATAAAAAATAACTTTAATTTTTATGTTGCTCATGTTCATTAACATGAGCGCAAAACAGGGATTGATCTGAATTAGTCAGTGATGACCCTAACTAAGCAATATTTATAGGGGGCACTAAACTCTCCATTAATAAACTAATCTTAAATATATGTTTTGCCAATTTTTTTTGTTTTTAATTACCAGCTTTGGAACCTTTCCGAGAGGAATTAATTTCCGAAAATGTACTTAGGAAGTTAATCAACCAGGATGTTATTGTTGAAGTCCAATTGCAAGAAGCAGAAGAGCAAGAAAAAATATATCTTTACAAGCGTAATGTTCCTGCCGATTACTTCACATTAGTACTCCAAGGAAAAGTTGAGGTAACAGTTGGGAAAGAAGAGTTTGTCTTTGAAGAAAGTCAGTTCAGTAGCTTTGGTGCTCCAGCTCTGGTCTGCGGCTCACATACAAATGGTAACCCAGGAATAGTGGCCAGTAACCAAAAGTCCAGTTACCAGTACATTCCAGATTACACTGTTTGGGTCTTGACTGATATTACGTACCTCAAAATACCAAGGTCAATGTATCGAATGGCTATCAAGGCCACAATGATGGAGAGAGAAAGTGGAAGTGATGTCGTCAGTGATGTGTTTTACGGAATGCAGATGAGAACATCTATTTCATCTCAGTTGGTATATCCTAATCAAGAAGCAGATAAGGACAGTCTCAATATAGAATCAAGTATTTAAAAGTTCTTTAGAAAGGAAACATATTAGATACTTGCTTAGTCTTGTATGTCCAATTAGTGGCTTCAGATTTAACGGCTTCATTTGCTGTTAATGTTACCGTTTGTCACTGATTCTAGAGTACAGTACAAATACTAAAAACATGCAACATATTGCATTAATTAACACTAAATAGTACTAAATTTTAGACAATATTAAGTAACAGGGATAACACTATTTAGAACTATGTCATGCTTATTATGTTGCATGGTCATAGTGTTTGTATTCTAGGTCCTGAAAGTCGTTGTGAAAGTTACTGAAATTTTCAACATTACATGAACTCAGCAGTTGCAAGCTGCCCGTTGGAATTTGTTTTTTGGAATTTGTTTTTAACTGCTGCCAGTCAAGTATGTAAAAGTTTCAACTGATTAATTTTGAATTGTGGTAGCAAAAAAAAACTGCAATTTTTGAGCATGGAGCATTTTCAGCTATGAGTTCACATAATATAGCAAACTGCTATAAGGTTTGAATGTTTAAAATTTATAAGTAATTTTTTAAAAGTTTACTTTAAGCTAGTATTAACTTGGGTTTAATTAACAAAACTTATCAAAGATAAATTATAATTTTTTCGGTCAATAGAATTTATAGATTCAAAAATTGCAAAATTGCAAAATTCAGGTTTGGAACTTTCAAGAAAGAGAGAGACCTTGCATATAATCCCCATCCCATTAGCAGTTTTTTTCACAACAAACAGCCTTATGGGGGAGGGGAGGGAGGGATGTTTTGTTAATGTTAGTGTAAAGTGGGAAATCCTGATTTTCTTCATAATAATGATCATGTTGTAGATTATTATTAATTCTTTAATCAAACTTTTCTAATGGGCATGATTTTGTTTTGTTTCTTTATTTTGTATATACAATCAATTTTAGCACACATTTCCCCAGTGTTAGTGTTTTTATATTATATACATACAGACATAGTAGACTGTACTAGCAAGTCTTGGACGTCAATCAGTGTGATTGTAGGGGAAGGTGATCCTGTTGAATTCATAATCATATAAAATAAGATTTAATAGTTGATCATATTTTTTAGTAAAAAATGGGTTGAAAACAGACTCATCTAAGGAGATTGTTAAGTTAGTTTTGGAAGGTGATTATGACATGATTGCACAGTATTGTAATATTCGACTTATAACAAAACCATTCAAATTTGTTACTTTTTAATGGAATTGTGATTGCACGAAAGATAAGTTGCAAATGTATTACCAACATAGCCTGTGTTGCTTGGCTGTCTGGTATTACTTAAAATAAAAATCATTCAAATTTGAATAAACTGATCAATAGTATTATTTTGCTATAGAGTTGTGATTGTATGAAAAATGAGTTACAAATATCAAGGGCGGATCCAGCCAAAATTTTAGGGGGGGTTAATCGAGTTTAGGGGGGGCTAATTGAGTTTCTTCCGTCAACACAACAGAAAGCAATATAAAAAAGCATCGTTTTTTTCTGCTAAAGGGGGGCTTCAGCCCCCCTTTGCCCCCCCTGGATCTGCCCTTGAATATTACCCCCATTTGTTCTTTGCTTTTAGTTTTAGAAAACCTTTTATAAGGACTCTCATATTAGATATCTTTCAAAAGTATGTCCCACCCTTTTGAAAGACATTTACTTCAAAAAGTGAAAATGTGTGAAAGGACAAAAAAGAATCGTCCAATTTTTAAAAATGTCGTGATTCTAGAGTGATGGTACTTAATCCGTGAAATAAAAACAAAATAGTTATTAACTAATAGTCGCAATTTAGTGGATATTTAGTCGATATCACTCAAGTGAATCAATCTATATATGAATACACAGGAGACATCAAATACACAAGAAACATGTTAGTCATTTGTTCATCAATGCTATGACTATCAATGACTAACATGTTTCTTGTGTATTTGATGTCTCCTGTGTATTCATATATAGATTGATTCACTTGAGTGATATCGACTAAATAAGCACTAAATTGTGACTATTAATAACTATTTTGTTTTTATTTCACGGATTAAGTACCATCGCTCTATTCAAGGATATGATTCAATTTCTATGATTATTGTTCTAACCTCATGCCCCCATGGTTGAAAAAGTCACTAAGAGTTATTTTATATTTGTTATAGTGTTTTTTTCCAGCCAATCATGGCTGGCCTCTCCCACTGTTAGGAATGAAGTATAGAACGCCCTTAAATTTTTGGACCTGATTTACGCTTCCTGATTGGCTAAATCGTATGCTAATCAGTCACGTGCTCAAAACACGGGTCCAGATATTTTCGTTTACAGACTCGGTAAACTTCAATTTACGACTCAAAATTCTCGGTAAATTATACCGAATTTTACCCGTTTAGCGAGCGAAAATTGGACAAAAATGAGTCGGACGGCGTACCAGGGTAGTGGAGACGTAAAACTCGAGCATCATAAAGTCAAATGGGATCCAAAAACCTTGGAAATTCGGACTCATTCCGTGGAGAAAGCTCTCGAACCGCTTGTTCACCAAGTAAGTATGGCTTTTTCTTAATTTGAGCCTTATTTATTTTGGTTTTCTTGGTTTGGGAGGTGATTTTTCTAGCGCTAAATATTTTAGCTTGACTGTTTTATGGCGAGGCAAGGCGCTTTGAGTTCATATTTGTTAAATCACGAATAAAATGACTTGAAAAAGTTACACATTTTTGAAGTGTTTGCTCACTGTCGCGTTGCTCTCTGCTTTTTACTCTGTATTAAAAACAAATAATCCCTAAACTAACGTCTATGCAGAGTAAAAGACCAATCTTTACCGTTTTGCAAGTTAAATTTATTCATAAATATATTTAAAGTACAAACGAGAGTGTTGTTGATCAAAATGTTGTGAGGGGAGCGGCAACACTTTTGACAAGTCGTCCACTTCTAGTGGTTTGCAAGATTAGTCATCACTCTAAAAACCACAAAAATCTAACCCTAAATATTTACAGAAATAGAGTTTTCAATTGGTGCTGCGGTTCTTGTGTTATCGTTGATCCAGCCACAGAAGTAAGAAAACTGATTTGAAGAGGAATTTTAATTCTTTGAATTATTGTTCCAGTTTTTGTTCGAATACGATTCAAGTGGTAGCCTATTTGAATATTGCAATTATAGCTCAATTGACTATTGAAAATAGTTGTGTTTGCAGTGGTAACAATATTTATTACGATTTCTAGTATTATACATTTGATAACATCTGGCAAGAGAATTGGCCATGACATCATCATCATTTGTTTATTTTTGGACTTCCATTTTGACCCGCATACATTTTGACCCACATACTTAAGATTTTCAAAGTTTGCAATCCATATGTTTACGAACATTTCTTATCATTCATTTTATCTGATCCATAATAATGTTCAAATTATTTTCGTACTTAAGGTGACAACACTCGTCAACCAACCTAAAAAGAAGGGTGCCAAAGTTGGTAAGTCCAAGAATGCCCACAAACTTGCACAAGATATTGAGGATGCTACTGTTCGTCTGATTAAGACTGGAGAGACAATTGCTCAGGACTTTCCAGAGATCAGAGAGGAAATGCTAGCTGCCTGCAAGGACTGTAGAGGAGCTGGTAATTAAATAATATCCATAATAATGGACCCTTCCTAAAAGTATCATGGATGCGAGGCTAACGTAGAAATACGAAAGAAATAAATCACACTTTTTCTCAATGAAATTTGTGGAATTTCTTTTGTATTTCCATGTTAGCCTCGCATTCGAGACAATTTTAAGAAGGGTGCATTTTTTAAATACAGAATATTAAAAAAAAAGATTGTTAAATTGTGTCTGGACAAAATTTTGCTTCATTTTATTTAGTCTGGATGTAGTTTTGATTGGCCAAAAATATTTTGTCTAGTATTAGATAATAATAATGATATAATATTTATTGATAACATACACTGTATTATTATATGAATAGTAAAATATATACATGTACATATTAGCTATATAAACTGTAAAGTAACTATGACACAAAATTTAAAATCATAGCCTAAAAATTACAGTGCAGACACTCTAACCATGAACACTTCGAGGTTTTTTTGACATTTTTTCTACATTTTTACAACTATCCAATCAGCGATCTCCTTCTTAAAAGGAATGAAACAACTCTTAGGCATCATCCAATCAGAACACATGCTATAATTGATGTGATTTAGTTTTTCAGTAGTTCCCATGAGAAAGCTAAAAATAGAACTCCTAATGATTGTCGTGATTGGATAACGCATTAAATAAAGTTTGAAAAATGTTGAAAAAATGTCAAAAAAACCTCGAAGTGTTCATGGTTAGAGTATCCGCACTGTAATATTAATAAGAAAAAAAGATATATTTTCAACGTTGACCTAAAACTTCCCAATCATAAAAGAAATGTGGTCTTGTATCTCAGACATTCAAATTCAGTACATGATTGAAGAAATAGGAAAAAAATTGACATAATGAATGTTTCTTAAGGTGACACCATGCGGTTTGGTGCCAAAGAGTTTGCAGATGACCCTTGTTCTTCATCCAAGAGAGCAAACATGATCCGTGCTGCAAGAGCACTGCTTTCTGCTGTTACTCGTTTGTTGTGTGTGGCTGACATGGCTGATGTGTATCGTTTGCTTGCTTCCCTGAAATTGGTAAGTGGACCAATAAGGATAGTTACTCATTGAACTCTGTATGTGTAAGTCGGTGAATGGACAAGTGAATAAGAGAATGGATGGATGATGGAATGATGATTGTATAGAGTGAATGAATGATTAAGTGACTGAAGTGAGTGGACCAATAAGGATAGTTACTAATTGAACTCTGTAAGTCGGTGAATGGACAAGTGAATAAGAGAATGGATGGATGATGGAGTAATGATTGTATAGAGTGAATGAAAGATTAAGTGACTGAGTGAAACTGTTGAATATTTCTCATATTCAGATGCAATTCATGTATTCAGTATATATCAAAAATATCAATTCCCAGGTGGAGAGAAGACTGAAGGACCTTGAGGGAGTAAACAACACTGCCGATCTTCTGAACTCCTTCAAGAATCTTGGAAATGACTTAATGGATCTTGCCAAACTATCAGGGAAACGTCAAGCTGTAAGTAAAAAGACCATTTCTATCAACTCATTATCCGTTTCTTGCCCATAGTAACAATCTATTTAAGGCTTCCAAGGTTTTTTTATTTTTAAAGTGGCCAATAAATTGCAGGGCTAAAAATAGCGACTGTTAAGTACCTGGATCTGATGACCAGCCACTTCAGACTGATTAAAATGTGACCTGTCAATGTGACTGGTCAAGAAAACTGGCCTAAGACCTGTTAAGCCAGACAATTGCCAATTTTGGCCGGACGTTGTTATTTTTAGTGACCATTTTTAGTCCTGCATTGAAATTGTGTGTTTTTTGATAGGATCTCAAAGATCCCCTTAGGAGAGATGAAATGGCTGCTGCAAGAGCAAAACTGAAGGATGCCAGCAAGATGTTGTTGTCTTCATCAAAGGTACAAAACAGGTTTTACCAATGCCATATCATGACCATACATGTGACCATCCTGTGACATTTTACAATTGCATTTTGTATAATATATATTATTAATTCAAACATCACTTTCATTTAGTTTGTTTGAAATTGTTTTGGTTTCTTATTGGAATATAACCTTTGTTACATCTTTAGGCCTATGTGCATCACCCAGATGTTGGTTCTGCCAAAGCCAATCGGGACTTTGTCATCCAGCAAATGAATGAAGCAGTGAGGTCCATTTCTGGTACTGCACAGGCAACAGGTCCAAGTCAACCTCATCCCATGGAGATGCCTGGAGCTCTGGCCGCAGCTCTGGATGACTTGGATGTAAGCAGACAATGAAATTATTATACAGAAACTTGTGTCATGGCTATTTTCTTCAGTTTTATGCAGTCTGCTAATATATAAATTTTAAGTCAACCTAGATTTACTATCAATTTTTCAGTCTCAACTTGCCATGGACCCTGCATCGTACACTGAGAAGCGCACTCGTCCATCCCTTGAGGATCGTCTGGAGAAGATTATCAGCGGTGCTGCAAAACTTGCAGATTCTGTTTGTACGAGGGATAACACAAGAGATAACATTATTGCTGAGTGTAATGCCGTGAGACAAGCTCTGCAGAACCTTCTGTCAGAGTATATGAGCCATGTAAGGACATATTTAGGTCTTAGAATTTGACTGTCAATATCAAATAATTATTTAAATATTCAACTTCCTGTTTTCTCCTTCTTCATCTCCTTCTCTTTATTCTACTTCTCCACTTCTCCTACTCCTCCACTTTCTTTATCTTCTCCTTTTCTTGTCCTCTTCTTGTATTTCTTTCTCTCCCTCTTTTTTTCTGGTTCCTTTTTTTCTGTAATACCATTTCCCCTCCATGCAGTTTATTGATATTAAGCAGCTATTCTACCTCTTCTTATTTGTTACTTTATTGGTGATTTTCATAGTCATCAGGCAAAAAGAAGCACACACCAGGTGGCCCACTGGACCAAGCCATTGAGGACATGTGTAACAAGACCAGGAACTTGAGAGGAAAGGTGAGTAAAAAATGAGGTTGAACTTGGATTTGATGTAAGGTCAGAGAGAGAGAGAGAGAGTGGGCAGGGGGGGGGGGGGGGGGGGGGGGGGAGAACAATAGAGATGAGGGTGAAATCCATTCATTAGCTAGGAAACTAAGTATATAAATAATCTGCCGGTAGCTGAAAGGAATTCAGAAAAAAGAGTCCCTGATAGAGTACCTGATGGGGATGTTTCAGTTTTGCTGGGTAGTGTCTATAACCTATTATAAAAACAGGTTGTTATGGCATGTCATTAGGGTATGGAAGGTGGGGCATGGGGGTACATGCTATCCTAAAGTTTTGGTAATTGATTGAATGAAGTTTGAAAAATGTTTGTTTGTTTCTCCTTTTTTTACTTTTTTATTCTGGGTGCCCCCTCCCCTCCCCCCCACCCCCTCAAATTCCTGGGTCCCCCGTGGTATGTCTTCTGATTTTCTTCCAGTTGATGCACATTTAGTGCATACATGTTACATACAAAAGAACAACATAAACAGTTGTAATATTAAGGGGATTTTCTTTAATTCTTTTCCCCCATTCATATATTCCCTCATAGTTAAACCAAGCTGTGATGGATAACATATCCGATGCCTTCCTGGAAACCACCCTACCACTGCTGATGATGATAGAGGCAGCCAAGGCTGGTAATGAGAGAGAGACTGAAGAATGTGCCAAGCTGTTTATGAACCATGCTGCCAAACTTGAAGAGGTAAAGTAGAAGATTACAGAAAACTTCTAGAAGACTATACTGTACAAACCTCAAACCTTGGGTAGTTTTTCTCTGGTTTCTCTGTTTCTTTTCCTCCCTTAGCGAAAATCAACTTCTGAATTCTAATTCGATCTATTTTTAGCCTTATTTAGTGGAATGCAAAACCTGTTAGGCTTTCTGTCCTCCATGGAGTAGTAAATCTGATTAGATTTTTAAGATTTAAATTCAATGGACATCTGTATTACAGCCATTCTCAATCACACGCACCCTCTAGCAATGTTTTCTGTTGCGACGAAGAAGGTTTTGGTGGATGTCAATCACAAGGCATTTCCATAACATTGTTGGAAAACACAAAGCTATAAGGGCACGTGGCTATAGAATGTCATGGAAATGTCTTGATTGACATCCACCAAAAGCTTCTTCATACATCAGGCAAGGTCCCAAAGGTGTTTGCTTAATACTGGTACTACTATACTATACTGTCATGACATCCCTGCTGTAACTAAACGTTTACATTTTTCATATCCAGGTTGCTGAACTCGCTTGTTCCATGTCGAATAACCCTGAGAAAGTAAAGATGGTACGAATAGCAGCAAAACACATCCATGCACTTGCCCCACAGGTAAGGAAATATCCATATCTCTTCTTGAAAACCTTTTTATGTCTGTTTACTACAAAACACTCCAAGTAGCTTGCCTTTACACACTTACTCAACAATATGTTTAATAGACTAGATTTCTAACTAAATATCAATTTGATTTTGTGAGTTAGCCATGCCCTGACATGGATCTGCCCAGACGTTGTTTCAGGGTTCGATCTGTGAGTTAACCATGCCCTGACTTTGATCAGCCCAGAGTTTTATTTAGGGGATTGATACAACTTGAAGTCTTTTTCTGAAATCTCTGATTATCCACCAAATTGCTTGGGCATAGTACCGTAACATTGACGGCACGTCATGTTTGTACATTTAGTTTTTTCAACACAAAGAAATTCTTTACGAAATTAATTGCACAGTTTAATTTTAAGAGGCCAAAATTTTACTGCCATTTTACAGCACCATAAGTTTAACTAAAAGTTCTGTCATTTTTTAACGCTCTGCATCCAAACAAACAAACTAACAAACAAAAAAAAACAAAAAAACGCTGAGCGTCCTTTTTTCATGAGGGTAGCACTTAATAGCCAGTGGCTAACAAACCTGTGGCCCTCATTTCGTGATCGAATTGGAATTTAGGAGTTTTTTTGGGGGGAGGGAGGAAAACCGGAGAACCCAGAAAACCCTCGAAGCACAGCAGAGAACCAACAAACAACTCTACTCATATACAACACCGAACCCGGCGGGACTTGAACTCGGGTCGCATTGATGAGAGGCAAGCGCTCCCACCGCTACGCCACCCGTGCTTCCCAAAGACGGCATAGAGTTTCAAACATTCTGTTCTTCTTGATTTAAAACTCCTTAAAACTTTCACAGGTAGTGAATGCTGCTCGCACACTCGCTGCTCGACCTCACAGCCAAGTAGCTTTGGAAAACATGGCTGTCTTCAAAGACGCATGGGAAAAACAAGTTCGTGTGCTTACTGAGGCAGTCGATGACGTCACAAATATCGATGACTTCCTCGCAGCATCAGGTAGATTCAGCATGTTCATTTTTGGACCTATTTCTCGTGGTTGCGCAACCGTGTAAGTCTCTTTCCACTGATTGGGTTATCTATGTCTTGGTATGTTTCAGAGGCACACATTCTCGAGGATGTCAACAAATGTGTCCAATCCCTCCAGGACAGGGATCCCGAGTCTCTGGATCGCACAGCTGGGTCGATTAGAGGACGAGCACAGCGGGTAGATGAAGTGGTTACAGCCGAGATGGAGAACTACCAAAAGGGACCGTACACCGACAATGTTAATAGAGCTGTTAAGGCCATGAGAGAAGAAGGTAAAAAAAAAACCCTTTAGGGTAATTAGTATTGGTCCTATAACTGAGTTGAGTGGTCCTAATGTAAGGGACAAGTCTGTTGTTTGTTTACTCCAAGGGACACCCGAGTGACAGCAGGGTCACTCTACCTTCATGTTAAGCTGCCGATACGCGCTGCAATGTTTTCTCGCGCTGGCAATGCAATCTCAATTTTTCTGTTGCATTGCCAGCGCGAGACACAATTTCAGCGTGTATCATGCCCCGCGACTTTGACGGCAACGATGTCTCGCAGCGCAAAAATTGTTGCAGAAAATTAAAACGTTTGACATTTTCTCTGCAACACTTTCGGAATCGCACGCCTAAAAATAGCGAAAACTGAAAATTGCAGCGTGTATCAGCCATGTTTACTCACAATACAATGATCCTATTCATACTAGCCAATCAGGATTTAATCTTAATGCTTTAATATTGGTATCCTTTTAAGTTTATTTCAAACCTTTTTGATATGGTAAATTGGTAAAAATTAGAAATGAAAAAAAAAGCGTGTATCTGCAGCTTTAACGTGCAATATGATGGAAAAACGATGGAAAGAAGTAGAGGGAGATAGAGAAAGAGGGAGGAGAAGAAGGGAGGGGGAGAAGTTGAAGTGCGCACAAACAGAGACCAGCGTCAACTGAAGCAGCTACGACTTTTAAGAAATATTAGCCAATTGAGAATATCATCCTTTTGATGTTGCCCTTTTTCTTTACAAGTGATGCCCAACTTCGCCAGATCTGTGGAGATTTCTGCTACTTCACTTGCTAAAGACCCATACGGTGACCACGAGGAAGCGAAATTTGTTGACGCTTCAAAACTCGTAAGTGCCTTTACATTGCGTGTGTATCCGACTTGCCTGTGGTTTTTCCTTTTTTCACGTCCTATATTTTTGTAACTGTGACGTACTGTTTTAGGTATATGAAGGAATCAGAGACATCAGGCGAGCTGTACAAGCTGGCAAGGTACGTATGGTAGAACGTGTCACGTCATTTGCTAGCATTAAGTGCCTGCCCCGGCAAGCGCAATATTATCTATATTGGGTTGCTTTAAATTGCATGTAGAAATTTTACTTTTTTTCTATCAACAACAATATCCACAACAACAGCAACAACAACGACAATGACGACCAACACCAACGGCTGTTCTATACTGAATTGTCACTAGTTAGTATGCATATTTTTCTTCTTTATGCATATTTTCTTTGATCTGCGGTCTTGCGGCTTCTATTTCGCTTCTTCTTCAGTCTCAATGGCCATTTCATCCATGTCCTATTTTGAGAAATCTCTTGGATTTCATTATGATTTATGAAATAATTGACCAATTCTCCCAAGTGGATATCAAGTGGTCTAAAATGGAAAGAAATAAGAATTGCATGTGACTCACCCAAGATTTCTTTCCAAGTTTTCCTCCCATTTCAGACTTGAGGTTCTCAAAGCGATATACTAAATGAATTTCCTTCTTTAGCGAGGTACAGCGGGCACTCCTCCAATCGCAGATGAAGATGCAGCAGCCCTGTTCGCTGAGGCTCAGGCAAAAGCAAGAGAACAAGCAGCGTATGAACAACTCAAGGCAAGCGGTAAGTCAAATCTAACAGAGTCGGGTCCAGAAGTGGATCTTTTTCCATGTTTTTCTGCAATCTCGTATCCAGAGCCTTTATTTCTTACTGCGCATTCATGACGAAAATAATTTGGGTTTTTCTGATGTTCCGAAAAAAAAAAAGACTAAAAAAAGATCTTATCACAGTCATTCCTTTCTCGTTCCTTCGTCTTTATCACAAGTGCATGGATTTTTAATCCACTTCACAGAGTTTATCATAACTCTGCCAATTCTTAATCTAAATATAACTGGATTTACCACTCCATGTACACGAAGGGTGGAAGGAGAGCCCGACAGGTTGTACAAGGCACTTGATAAGGCAGCCGATAGGTGAAATCAAAATTTCGAAGTTGATTTTTGCAGAGGGAGGAAAAACCAGAGAACGTGGATAAAACAATCCTCAAAGCACAGGAGAGAACAAACAAACAACTCTACTCACACACGATAGTGGGAACCCAACCTTACGTACGCATCCAGCTTACAATTATTCTTACGAACTAGAGGCCTATAGTTATAATTCTATTTTTTATATGCATAGGCGGAGTGACTATTTACTGTCAAAAATTCCACTCTCACTTGAAACTTATTGTTCTTCATTTCAGGTAAAGTACAATTTGCGCTACGTGCCGAGGGTGGTGATGACGAGGGAGGCCTTGGACGAGCTTCAATCCTAGTAAATGGAACAGAATATTGCCCCAATAAACCAGGACACAACATTGTCGTACTGGACCCTACTGGCGAGATTGTACATGTCAAGAACTTCAATACGAATGCAGGACAAGGACCTGACATGGCGAAGTTCCTGGAAGAGCTTCCTGATGATCACGTGGTCTTGGTTGCTACTAACAACGTTACTGGAAAAGAACAAGGTAGGTCATCAATGGGCATCACCATCATGTGTGGAATCAAGAATGCCGTAGCGACTCTCACCTCTGTAGTCTAGGTTGGGTTCTATTCCTGGACTCAACATCACATGCGAGTATTGTCTGTTAAAATATAGGTCTAATTTTACTAACTATTTGTATTTTTTTCACAGGAAATAACGCCATTGTGGCAGGCAAAGCCTTCGAGAAGATTGGCTTCACAGGGGATTTGGACCCCGGGTACAAGGGATCGTTCGCGTTTGCCGGGTGTACGGGACCAAAGAAACGTTACTGGTCATCAGCCGAGATTCGACCTCGCTACCGGGGACCTGCTATCGTCGCTCAGATTATCCCAACACCGGCTGCGCAAGCAGGTAATCATATCGGTAGATTGTTTGCAGGAATATTTACTCTGGGATAGATGTCATGGAATTTCTTAGTCTGAAGCGGGTTGCCTGTGTGTGAAAGAGATGTTGGCTATGTCGGACTTCATTAGAGGGAAGGAGGGGGAGGGGTGGACTAGTATCCCATCTAGGAGTAGTAGTAATGCACTTAGTCCCTTGATGCTTTAGCAAACGGAAAACAATGCTGGCTATTCAAAGGTTCCCACAATTAAGATTTGGGCTATCTGTGTTAAAACCTTCCTATGAATCCCCAGGTCAAATCAAGGTCGCTATTGTAGCCGAGGGAGCAGATGATCCTAATGCTACAGGCAGAACGTCAGTGAAGGTCAATGGCGTAGAAAGGTCGCCGTTACAGAGAGGACACAATGTTGTCATCCTTGACAACGCGGGAAATTTCATCATGGCAACACACTTCGATACGGCAGATACGACGAAGGGGGAGGGAGTGAAAATGGCTCGATTTATTGAAAATATTCCCAAGGAACGAATGGTATTGATGGCGACTCAAGGAACGACAGGTAAGGTGAAAAACGTCTAGTGACTTAAGCTTCAGTCTTTAGCCATTGGTTGAAGAGCGAAAAGTCATGTGATTATTTGGACGGAGGGGATTGGCTTATTGACACTTATCCCGCCTGTCATGTCGTGTGGGCCATGCTGGGTGATTGTGATGATGATGCAGTTGTTGGCTTCAGTACCGTTGGTCCGGGGAGGATTCCATTTTCTTTTAGACCGGACCACTGTCTAAATCATGGCTTTAGCCCTTTGTTGGTGGATGTTATTATTGCTGCTGATTATGATGAATAATGATCATAATGGTGATGATGATGATGATGGTTGCTGTTAGTAGCTCATGAACATGATCATGTGAATGTTGATGTTAATGATGCTGGCGATGATTAAGCAATTGATGCATGATGATAATGATGTCGGTGCGGTGATGATGAATGATGATCATAATGGTGATAATGATGATGATGGATGTGAATGTTGATGTTAATGATGCTGGCGATGATTAAGCAATTGTCGATGCGGTGATGATGAATGATGATCATAATGGTGATGATGATGATGGATGCTGCTAGTGAAGTAGCTCATGAACATGAGTAATGAAGATGATGGATGTGAATGTTGATGTTAATGATGCTGGTGATGATGATGCAAGATGATGATAATGGTGGTGATGATTATGCAATTGATGCAAGATGATTATGATGATGGCGGTGCGATGATGGTGAGTGATGATGCTTATGATGATTATGATGATGATGGATGTGAATGTTGATGTGAATGATGCTGGTGATGATTA